GTTATTTTAGCTGTTATTATTTGTCTATCCCTAATGATTGTCACTAGGTAGCCACATTTTTGCAACTCTAAATCTGTTCATTCTTAACTTCTGGCTTATTCTTTCTATCTTATTAGCTGAAAAGATCTTTCCGAAGTTCTTTCAATAATGATGCAGCAGAAGGAAGGGAATGATGGAAGCCATTCTGCTTGAAGTGTTATTTTCTAGAAGAAAAACTTTTGAATCTCTTCAGAGAACTGGAACTAAGCTGCTCTACTGTGTGAGAATTCTCCTTAAATATTAATTGATTTCATGAGCAAATATACTGAAAAGAGATGGACATGGGAAAAGACCTGATCATGATTTTATAAAATAGATTAGAGAGCCATCAGGGTAACAGTCATTAGATCTATACCGAATAAGGAAGTGATAAGAAAAAGCATCCTTTATCAAAAGCTCTGTTTCAATTGCTTTATTGTTGCTGGAATTAAACAAAATTTTTTTTACATGTAAGACTGATGCTTAACAACAAGATGATGTGAGATAATTAATCACAGTGTGGCCTCCTCCAAGAATTTTCTGCTGGCTGAACTATTTTTTCCCTGATATTAGGCGCCATCTACCGGTAGGAGTTTAAAACAGCAGGAGCAAGAATTAACTGTTAATGGGCAGTTGTTACGGCTGTTTTCCATCATGAGAAATAAAATGAGAAAACTTGTTTTTGCTTCAGGAATGTGGTGCTCTAGTTCCTTTTGAGGAAATCTGTATATTTTGTACTCTTTTATTTTAATGTTTTGAAACTTTACTAACTTTATAATTGAATGGATAAAAAAAAAAACCAGATATCGACAGCCTCTATGGATTTTAACTCAAAATTGATATAAGCCCTCCCTCCTCAAAATGGTGGGTCTCTCTTCTAATATCTTTCTAACTCGGTGTTCCTCAGCCTTGGCAGCTTGAAAATGTGTGGACAACTCTTCAGGTTGTCAAGGTTGAGAAACATTGTTCTAACACATTCCCTCAGTTTTTAAAATCAACCTTACTGGTAGCCAGTCAGTTCAACAATATTCCTGAGAATTAAATCTTTCATCTGTTCTTTGGCTGGTATATCACCCGTTGTTATTTGTCAAAATAATACTTCTCAAATGCTATACATCAAATTTTAGATTTTCACTAGTTAACATTCCTTAAGTGTTATGATTGTAAGAAAGCAATGTAGCAAAGTTATAATGTTGTGAATGTAGAGCCAACCTGAAGTAAACCTCAGATTTTTTCTCCCTCACACATATTCAGTCCTATTGCGCTACCAGTTTCACAAATCCATGTACACATTTTTTCTTTCTGTCTTTGAAATGGAGAACTGTGGCTGCCTACCCACAACATAGTTTTGTGATAGCTAATACTGGCTTAAAATCGATGTGCATTTTGGAAATTTCATTCGCATTAAATCATAGCTTAATAAAGTGAAAAACAGCATTTGTGGCATTTATGTCTTCATTGTTTCTGAGATGCCTAAATATATTACATGTATAAATCTATTCCTATTACACAGAAATCTCTCTTACTAAAGAGTGAGGGAACTATAATAACTTTGCCTATATCACTGTTTCAAATCATACCTGACTTCTGAGAAAGATATCTTAATTTCTTCCTTATTCCATTTGATGTGACACTTCACTCAGGATGAGCCGCTGAGCATTTCTCAAGCACATCGACCATTTGTGCAGCTTTTAATGGCATATGCCTTTTGACATCAGCAATGGCCCAGCTGTTACTCCATGGCAACCGGAATGGGGAGGGGGGCTAGAGCAACACCCTGCATTGTTTTTGCTGCTGTATAAGTAACGTTCAATTTACATCCGTGTGCTGCTTCTAACTGAGTTCATACATCAGACTAAGCTAAAACTAAACATAGCGTGTGGTGGTTTAAAGCAGTGTATGAACTTAGACTGAGTATTCGTTGGCAGCTTTCTTTTCTTCTGCAGTTTCTAGCAAAGGGTTCTAGTAACATCATAGCAGAACCAGGTGAAACCATCCATTCTTCCTTGGAAGAGGCCACCCTTCTCTTAATACCCTCTTAAGGACGGAATCATCTTCTAATATCTACAACATATTGAACGTAGGTATTCAGTGTACATTGGACATTGTATTACTATTTCCACAGCTTGTGTTTTTATGAGTCTTCACTTTTTATTAAACAATCGTGAAAGACAAACTGGAACTGCTTATATTCAGTATCACTTCATATTGGTAATGCTATAGATCATATTTTGTTTAAACAAATGGAAACAGATGTCTGAATGCTGATTGAATTAAACAGCACAGGGAGTGAGCTGTGTATAAAACCTGATTTGGGATGACTGCCAAGGACAGATACAACTAGCTCAAAGGCTGCAAAAAACAAATAACTTCCTGGAGTTGTCCCCAAGCAAATTCAAAAGGATGTCAAACTGTATTTTCACACTATGGCTATAAATTTAGAAAGTTAAAATAGTAACAGTGCTATTGGCCTTTGGCCTATATTATTCCATTTTAGAAATTCAGGAATTCTAGTAAGATTTGATCCATTTAGATTAAACTTTTCCCTTTCCAGTTACTTCCTGATCAATTGCCATCTCCTAATACTATTTGGACCTTTAGTACAATTTCAGTGTTGATTGCTATCTTATACTGTAACTAAGCCCAATTACATGCAATTGAAATAAATAACATCCCTTCCCTCTCTATTCTTGCTTTCATCACCCTTCATTTCTTTCATTAGATCTTATGCAATTAATTTTAGGTTGCTTCTCCACAGCCTCCAAGTATGTCCCTCCAACTCATCGCGTATTTGTATGGTTGTACAGTCCCCATCTTCTTCACCTTGATCTAGCCAGCACTCTAGGGCTACTGTAGCTTGGCTGCAAGAATCAAAATCACCACTCCAGAAAACCCTAACTCTTTGCTACCATCTTGTGGTCGCCTGGATATTTGCAGCCCTGCCAACATTTCCTGCTGTTTGTTAATGAGAATATTAAATATAGCAGTTAACCCATATCCCATCAAGTTCCTTGCTTTCTCTCATGGTGTTTTCTTTCCACGGTGGTGAAAAATACAAACAACAAAACCCCTGAACAACTTGTCACCATGCAGAGGTGTGATAAAGCCACCTCTTGAAGCAGCCAGAAAGCGCTGGGTGAGCAGTAACAAGCGCTGGCACTTTCACTCAAAGAGGGGTGGGGACAGGAACTGGGAGTTAGACCCAGATGGGAGTCCCCACCAATGGGGAACCAACCCACCTGACAGCTAAAGCAAACCATGGCAATGCAACCTTTCTTGAATTTCTGGGATCAGCAGCAGATCTGCTTAAATTCTGAAGTCAGTTGATTCAGTGTGCAGAAACTGCTAAAAACTCCACAAACTAGCTTTTGCTCTATGTGCAAATGGACCATTAGATTGTGAGGTATTGCTTTTCATTTCCTTTGTATTTAGAGTGATATTGCATCAAGCCAAAAGTTTATCTAGTCCAGCATTTTTTCCCACAATAATCAGATGGCTATGAACATGAGGGTTGTACTCTGAGATTCATGGTCCCCAGTAATCGGCGCTGAGTGACCTGCTGCCTCAGATTCTAGAGGAAGCTCACTCAGTGACTTTGGTCCAGCCACTCTCCTCTCAGACCAATCCTACCCCACAAGGTGGTTGTTGTGGGAAAAAAATTGAGAGGTGCTATGTTGGGTGCCTTGAGCTCCTGGACGAAAGGCAGTATTTAAACCTTATATACAAATAGTATCTAATAAGATTGTACAGTAATTTGGATTTGCAGGAAGAAATGTGCTTCAATAGCTTTTTTTGAGATATGGTGACATCTCAGATACAATACACAATATTGCAAGTGTGCTGGTATCATACCGTTGTATGAAGACATTAAGATTTTGGCAGTTTTATTTTTAATTCTTTTTGTAATGGGCATGACATTTCTTGTTTTCCCATAGCTCCACATTCCTGGTCTGTCCCTGCCAGATCAAATTGCATCATCATATACTGTATATGCAATTAGATGTTTCCCTAATATACACCATTTTCCACTTGTTTACACTGAATTGCATTTATTTACCATTTTAATGCCAAGTCCTCAATAAGGAAAGATCCTTTTGGCGCTCGTTGCTTTCCATTCTTGTTTTAACTACCCTAAATCATTTGATATCATCAGAATAGTTTGCCAATTTTCAGTTCATTTATGCACAATTTAAAAAGCATCAGTTTTAGTACAAATCCTTGGGGAACTTGATATCCTTCCAATGCAAAAAGCAGCCATTTAATGCTTTCTATTCCGTAATCCTTTCCATGACATTGGTGCTTGCCTTCATACACTATGTAAAGTGCCATTAATATATATGAGACATGGTTGTATAATGTTAGGGTATATGACATTTTGAACTTGACATTTTAGATAGTATTCATTTCTTTAATTTCAAATCTTTTTATGACTAAATTATTTCCCTAAAAGGATTAAAATTGCAATCCCAGTTTAAACAAACAAATAAGCAGAATGCTCAAGCCAGAAAAATTAATAGAAGTACAACATGGAATGGGATCCAAAGTCTAAGAAATGGAAACCAAGCCCCAAAGGCACATTTTGACCTGCCAAGTATTGCTGGTAATTATTCTGCAGAGGATGGGGAAATACTATTATATTTTAGATCAGCAGCTGAACTTTAGAGGAAGAGCATCTGGACACTCTTTAGTGGAAAACATTAATGCTGGATTCACCAAGTCATTTCCAAAGCTTTCTTCTCCCTGGGGAGTGTTCTTTCAGACACCATTTTCCATGAAAATCTTGAGGGGATTGTAATCTCAGCATTCTACTTTATCTGCAGGGCGTATATGTGCGCCTACTAGCCTACATGCCCCAAAGCCTCATTTTTTAAAACTTTGTACTGGGCGGTTTACTGAATCATGGAGATTTTTCAATGCATATAAAGAACTAGATTTTATATTAGAGAATGGTGGAGATACAGGGCCAGTAAATGCATTAGTAACATGCTAATTACAAAATGTAATTATCAGAGGCTGAGAAGCCTGGACACCACTAGGACCACATGGAAGGGGAGGGAATGTTTAACACTTTCATACACTCTTGTTGCCCCACAAAGAAATGTCCTTCAGAAGCTATGATTTGCATCAGAATAGGCGGCTTCATTGGGTGCTGCTATTTACATTGTTTTATATGTCCTTTAATTACCCTCACAGAATTCATATCACAGTAATCTGATTCATACTTATCACATTTTCTGAATTTGGGGCAAATATGGCAGGTACAAAACACATAACAAACTCCACTGCTTTTCCCTTTTCTGCAGTGAACAGTAAAGCTCAAAGGGTTGCATATATTCCAGAGAGAAAGCAATGGGGGCTGCGGGGAAGGGGTTAGTCATATTTGGACTTCTGAGAGATGTAATGGCTATTCTCAGAAACTGGTTACCATGAGGAGAGTTGTCAATTCACAAAATCACCACAGTAATGGGAGCGACTAGTACAATATACCCATATCCAGAAAGCAAATTGCAAGGTTGTTCCCTGACACACCCTCTAGCCTAGGATTATCATATCTGGTTGCAAACATCAGGATGAACTTCAGGATCTTTGTTGCCATCTAATGATCCTCTGGATTTTTGCATCTCAATATGATAGCCTTACTCTAGCTCCTAGGGGATAGACTCTGCCCTGTCAGCTTACCTCCCCACTTCCCCAATAAACTACTGAGTTGTGGAGCCCATCACTGTTTTTATTTTCTAAGCATGCCTATGGGGACTATATAGGGCCAAAGTCATTCCTGCATAACAAATTGAAAAAGAATCTTAGTTTTTAAAGAAACGGAATAGGGTAGATTTGTGCAGTTGAAAGGGACACAGAAAAAGGATATCCTACAGTGATCAGGAGCCTGAGAAGACCAAGGAGAAGCCATCTTATATAAGGAAGTTGTTTTCTATCTCACCATGTTCATGCAGAGGATGTGGTAGCGTAGGAGCAATCTTAGATATGGTATGTTGCTGAGCCCATTTTCACTTAATGTAAGCTGAAATGAAGAGCAAATACATTATCTACAGAAGCATTAGTGATTTTTCCAAAACCAGTAGCCAAACAGCAGTCTACTGATTTCTTATTATACTTGTAGTGTGCATCTAGAATTTGTGAATGCTTCCTATTATCCTTTTAGGCTCTGTTGGCCAGGTGCAAATCTTTTAAAGACTTCTCTGTGTTGATCAGACTAAAGATCAATCTAGTTCAACATTATATTCCCTAGACTGGCCAACTGATGAGATATCCTCAGGGAAGCTCACAAACAGAGCAAAATGTGGAAAGTATCTTTTGTTGTTTGATTCCAGCATTATGTAATCAGATATACCACTTTTAAATATAGAGGTTTATTATAGAACATGTGGCTGGTTGGGTTATTACCCAGTGAAAAGAAAGCTCTCCGTTATTTGCCTTTCTACAGCCATTTACCATGATTTTTAAAAAAATATATTTATCCCTTTATTATATTGCATAATAATAGGAAACCCACTTTTGAGTTTATTTTTTAATTATTATTACCAAGCCAATGCTTGTTTTCAAAAATCTTTGTGAAACCTGTTCTTATGAAAGGATGGCCATTGTCCTCTTTCTCGCTCAGTGTGGCACTAAAATAAATTTAATTAAAACCACATACAAGAGGCTCTTCAAGCAGCAACACTCTTTAGGAAGTTCCTTGCAATACAGTAATAAAAAATTAACCTTAAACATTAATTAAGTGCATCTGTGTTCCTCTCCAATATTAGTTTAATGTTGGTAGTCACACAATGGTCAGGCCCATACTTAGCACCATATTTTCTGCCTCTTCCTATTATATCAAGTAGAGATGGTACTGTCCTGCAAAGTATCTCTTTTAAGCAATATTGCAGCTCTCAGTTTAATTTCAAAAGACTTCTGCAATTAATTTGCAAGAAGAGAGAAAGAAAAAAGGAAATGACAGAAAGGTTTTTTAAAAAAAAGAACGGCCTACTCGCTTTTGTCTCTAATCCCACCAATCACTGGATCAACCTTGTCCACAGCATTGGAACACAGCTCACAACATGCAGCCCTTAACAGAAGAACAATTCCCAACCCTAGTATATAGGAATAAAAATGATTGCTTCCTTTGTTAAAGTGACTTAAAAGTGGCAATGAAGACAGGATAAGGATCAGCAATGGGGATGGCAAATTTCGCACCAGTACAGTTTTCTACATCAGGAAGAGCTCTCTGAAAAGATAATCAGCCACACACATCACATCTTCCTAATGGCTTTGGTTTGTCTTCCAGAGTAAAGCCCCATTCTGCTGAAAAATAAAAAAGTACTCCATAGTAAGAAATTGTTCCATAATAAGACATTTCCAAGGAAGGAACTAAAGAAACTGGGAATTTTTTTATGAAGTTATTATTAACATATAAACGACATGTTGGATAACCTTATCATCTATTTTGCTGAGCATCAAGTATGTAGAATATTTGATCCTTATAGGCTCACTTCATGAATATTACAATACAAAAAGGACTCAGAAGTGAGGCTGAGATAATTTCTGCATGATTGATAGAGACAGATATGAATTCTAGATAAATAGAATAGTCAAAATTTGCAAAACCTTTTTTTTTTTTTTGGTATCTTGACACTGAAGAACTGACAACTCTCTAGTAGGCCAACCACAGGTTATATGTGCCACCCCAGCCTCATTTTTATGACCCAAACCTATGCTACCAAAAGTTGGTGTTGAAATTCCTGGCTAATGTTTAAAGTAAGCTTCTAAATAGGTGTGAGAAGCCTCTACTAAGAGGACATACACCTATTTTGCTTCTGAAAAACCTTAATCCCTGTTCTTGAGATTGCAGTTGGCCCTGCTCTTTCAGCCAATGTGACTATATCAGTGCCATTTTTGCTGTGGTCCTCAGGGGCTGATTATTCTCTCTCTCTCTCTCTCTTTTAATAAAGTCCCTGCTCCTGGAATAGAGAGAACCCTGAAAGGGGAACAATGACTTGTTAGCAATATCTGAAAGGAAATGACCCAGCTGAAGCCTTTTCCATTTGAATAGTTAAAGGGCTCCAATTCATAATGCTGTCTGTTGGACAGAAAGTTTCCTCTAATATTCCAGAGACCCAGCATGTTTGTATATTTTTTCCCCTACTCCAAAAAAAAAAAAATTCTATCAAAAGCAGTGAGCTAAAATAACCAGTTCTGGTCATGACTGGCATGAACGCCAGAGCCACAGAAGGCTCCCTGCCTGGGTCCCTAAATGGCAGCAGTGTGTCAGGTTTGTGTAACAAACCATTCGATAAACACCAGCACCGCCACAGTCGTCAGCTCAGCTTCATTCCTAGACACGGCGTACCTGGCTCGGAATGTTTATATGTTGCCTTCAAACCAGTCCCCTGTCTCTCCTCGCTGCCCTCAGTTTTGCTCGGCAGTTGCCTAACTTGGCAGTGTTTGGAAAAGACCTTGGTTTAGATTTGAGGGTTTAGAGCTCCAAGCTGGCCATTTTCATTTGATAAAAGGTTCAATTTGTGTTCATTCTGTCCATACAAAATTGTTTCCTGCCCAGATTCTGAGGCGGAGGATTTCCAAAACGAATTGTTCTTCTTGATGTTTTTTTTTTTAACTTGTGTGTTTGCGCTCCTCCTTATGATACTGATTTGAAAATCGGCAGGCCCCCATCATTAAAATCCACTAGTGCTCAGGCTAAAGGTTACCTCTTCTTCGCCTTCCTGGGGTACTTTGGAAACAAAGCATTGCCATAGCAACAGCTACTGCTGCTCCCTAGATAAGGCGTGCAGGAGCATCCAGTGCCAGCAGAGGAGAAAGTTCCTGCTCCGGTGAACACCGAATCCCTATCACACCTACCCCAGCCACCCCGTCTGGTAAGTTCTTCAGCACTCTTGGTGGGTGGGATAGAGGGGGAACGATTAATACAGTCTTTCTAAAGAAGCTAAACAACTATCTGCCAACTCTATGATAGCAGTAAAGGTCACAGATCAGTTCCTCTGTCAGGAAGATTTAAAATGCCCTGGCAGATGAATCTACTTTGGAAGAGTTGAAAATTGTGAGCTGAAAGCTGTGAACTGAGACAGAAGGACGGAAGCTGATCTCATATATTTTAGAACATACACACATATACAGAAAGAGAGAGAGAGAGAGAGAGAGTAGGTATTTGAATGTTATTTTCAGCTTGATCACCACTCACATGGGGGTGAGTAATTTTGAACTGTACAGTTTAATTCGGAGTCTATTTCAGTTCAAGTTAATCACATATAATGAAATCCATGCCACTGTTGTAGTCCTAGGGTGCTATTTAAGTTCTGAGTCTAAGCTGTTAAGCCAGTTTAGTGGTAAGAATGGGATGAGGCTCAGATCCCAAAAGCATTTAGTACTTGAAAGCTTTTGTGTGAAATTAATATCTGTGTGTGTATATCACATGGCTTCAGTGGGTGCATCTTATCTACACACTCCAAAGTGAAGCCTATAATACTGACTGCCTTTTTTGAAAACTTTTCTTTTTTTTTCAGTTGCTTGAAAAAGTGTTGCTTTTAGAAAATATTTCACTCAGTTTCTTCAACCCATGGTAGTATGTACTCCATGCTATTTAAAATGTCTATTAAGAATGAAAAACATGACTTTTTTGTATATGCTCTACTTTAATGACAGTTTATAGAGTTTAATGTTACTTTTAGGGACATGTGTGAAAAGAAGCTTCTTATTCGAGAAAAGATATTAATGTATATTGAAAACTAGATATCTTAGATCCTCCCAAATTTCTTTAAGAATCTAGTATTAGCATGTCTTTGTACTTTCCATGTGCTCCTCATTATCTCTGAAATAAAATGCTACTAGATTTTAAATTCTTTACAAGGAAATTATTTCCCTTGAAGCCAGGGAGGCATTTCTCTAACAACATAATGACAGTAATCTCAGAGATGGAATAGTATCTTAGGATATAGAAATCTGTCATCTTTTCAATTAATTTTGAGACAGAGCTCACCTACCAATATGGGCAATCTTGCTATCCAGACTTAAGGTAAGAATCTGGCATCTTCCTGGCATGTCAAACTCCACAAGCTTTGCTTTATGAAACCATGGTGAAATAACCACTTTCAGAAGAATGCTCAGGGATGAGTTAGGCGTGCCACCATGATGTGATCAAAATGTAGGAATCTGTGGATCTGACAGCATTTTAAGGTTTGCTATCCTTAAAAGGATAACATCCCAAAGCAAGTCAGTTGTTCCTTTCCTCCAGAGTATTAGTGTAGAGTTTAGACATGATTGATGAGGATAGTCATTTGATTGTAGTACACATATGATGGCAGTGTCCACTGAACAGTGCTTTCGGAGAAAAGATACTCCTGCCTTACTTCATAAACCAAAGTAACATCCAGCAGCTAGAAGCCTTTGCCCTGGTATAAGCTCCTTCAGAAGGTTGAACTGGGGGCTTTAATTCTTCTATCTAGGGCAGTGTTTCTCAACCTTGGCGACTTGAAGATATGTGGACTTCAATTCCCAGAATTCCCAAGGTTGAGGCACACTGCTCTAGGGCCTCACTTTAGCCCACTAACCTCATCTATATTCTGCTGAAATATCTGTAGGGGTGAGAGTAAACTATTGGCTATAAGGATGCGGGGGGTGGTGGTGGTAATCAGGCATTAACGTTACATAAAACAGATTTTATTAAATAGCAAGAGATCATCTGCACAGTTTGTTGCAGGATTGTTGCAAGGCATTCTGAAATACACCATTATTTTGAAAAATCATTACGGTTTTGCAAACTTCACTTGCCTTTCACAGGTAGCAGTGTGGTTTTAGAATGAAAGACATTTATAAGAGGAGTGGGAAACTATAGGAAAATGAGTGTGCTAAGAAGCCACATGGAAGGATAAGGCCGGCATTACGTGAGCCATGTATGTTTGATTCTACAACCCAGAAGCCCTTTTGCAGATTGTGCATTTGGATTGCTTTCCCACTGAAACTTTGTAGTTAAATTTTAAAAAGTCACATTTCTAGAAATCCAGATCCCTTGACATATGTCAGATTATGCATAGAAATCTATACATGTCTATTATAGGTTATGCCTAATCTAGCTTTCAATTCAATCCATTGATTACTGTGGATAAATGCAAAGATGACCCTAAAACCCCAGCTCCCATGATCACATGAGCCAATGTAAAATAAATAAATAGACAAATAAATACATGTTTTGCTTCATAATCTACAAATCAGTGACAAAATATATAGGCAATATGCAGCTTATAAATCACATGAAGATTTGGAGTTCCTAGCAGCCCTGCCCATTTTTTCCTGTTGTCCACCTGATCAGCCAGCAGCTGGGCATCAGAGAGCAGATGCTGTTTCCTATTGTCAATAGCAGGAGGAAAATAGTAATCTTGATAAAGACTATGGAGGAGAGAGGACTTTACGTTTCTCCAGCAATCTTACTCTGTTATCCCCTTCTCACTGATAGCCCTATCTCCCCTCCCCAGCAATCCTTATCAATCCCTGTCTCCCAGTTGCTAATAGCACAGAAAAATAGCTATCTTAGGGAAGGTCACTGGAAAAGGGAACAAGATTAAAACTCCCCTCCCCCAATAATTATGTGTGCTTGGTCTATGGTACAAGGTGAATTTCTCTGTGTGAACTGGGAAATGTGATAAGTATATGTAAATGTAAGAGAAAGAGCAAGTGAACATGTTTTTATATAGACTGTGAGGTGTCCCACCTATCAACCCCAAACAGTTCAGTGGCCCCAGAGCCAAAACTGCTTCCCGTTTCTGCAAATCTGAAATTCCCTGTAAACTTACCGAATCTTCCAAGGACGTTCCCTGTGGATTTTAATAATAACAATCCTGAAGGGCTTGTAAGGCACCCAGATTTTGGTTTTAAGGTGGGCAGCTAAAGAACCTGGTGGGGTTTTGTCAGGAGCAATTTGCCAAAAACATGAATGAAGACATGACCAGTGTTAAAAGAAAAGCAGGCATAAATTGGAACAGAATTTTAACTCCAGGAGTCATAGTTTGCTCTTTGGACACCCTGCTGCTTCCCTTTTCTCTTGGAGACCTCTAGGCTTAAAATGCAGATGAAAGCTGGTGCATATGTACCACAGGCCATGAACTCTATAAAATATGCATGGCTACCATTTATGAAGCTATGGCGTCTCAACAGCAGAGGGAAAGTATTCCCTATAGCTATGCAAAAACCGATAAACATCTTTTCACAGTACCAAAACACATTAATGATAATTTACCATTACCAGGAAAATCCTTCAGTAGGATGATCATTTGCTAGCATGTTATGGAAGATTCACACATGCATTCTGGAAGGATAATCTGGATGTAATTAGATTTTTGTGGGGAACCTATTAAAAAGAAAGGGCAGGAAAATAAAAATAAGAGATGAAAAGTAAATTACAATAGGGTGAGCTGGACTTTCTCCCACATCCACAGCTGACAAGACATATATGTGCCATCAGGTTAAATGCCTGTGCATATACACATTAATGTTTTAGGGAAAAAGAAATCAAGGGTAAATCTGCTGTAAAGACTGAAAGGTGGGGAGAGGCTGAATATGGGCCACAACTTATTAGTACTGTAAATTTGCAGAAGTGCTTTCTCCTCAGAAATATGCTCTGGGCATATTTGCTTATGTAGTTAATTTCATTCTTTTTATACTCCATCTTTCAACCAAGAGACTTAAGGTAATGCCTATACCTCCCACCAGTTTTTTATTCCTTCCAATTCAAGGAACTGTTGGAAAGAAATTACATAAGGCTCAGTTTTCTGTCTACCCATCAGTAGGATTACTCTTTGAAAACAGAACAGAATGGGACCAATTTGGTGTGGCAGGAGAAGATGGATTGTATTTACTACTATAAGGTAAAGCAAATAAGCAGCCTATAGTCCAAACTCTATGCTCAACAGTAAGTAAAATAAATTCTCTTTCAAATTAAGCTTGATTCCTGGTGATTTCATAGACACGTTCATGTCATTTTCTTGGATTACCGTTACAGGTAGTCCTCACTTAACAACCATTTGTTTAGCGGCCATTCAAAGTTACGACAGCACTAAAAAAAGTGACTTATGACCAGTACCTGAAGTTATGACCATCACAGCACCCCCACAGTCATGTGATTATGATCTGGGCACTTGGCAACCATTCGCACTTATGATGGTTGCAGCATCCTGGGGTCACATGATCCTTTAAGACCTTCCCATCCAGCTTCTAGCAAGCAAAAACCAATGGGGAACCATGTGATTCACTTAATACTGCATGATTTGCTTAACAACCATGTGATTCACTTAATGGCCATCACAAAAAAGGTCATAAAATCACGTTCAGCCACACGATGATTTGCTTAACCACTGCATTGCTTAGCAACCTAAATTCTGGTCCCAATTGTGGTCATTAAGCAAGGACTACCTGTACCTTCTTCTGCCATTTTTTTCTTTTTACTTTCCCATGTAGACTACATCCTTTGGATTTCCTGGTGGTTTCCCATCCCAGTTCCAACCAGGTTTTTGGAAGGTCTGGTGAGTGTTGCCCTGAAATGCCAGATTTGGGGAGAATGGGGCATAATTACAGAGATAGTCTGGCTCAGCTCAGGTGCTTCAAACTTTGGGTGTTGTGAAAGGGTAGCACATTGTTAATTATTAAACTTATGACTGTTGTATTTTAGCTGCAAGGGAAGTGAAGAGGTGCCTGTGGTATTTTTGGCCTCAGATGACAAAATAACTTGGGTATGTACCTTAACTGGGGAGGGGTGGGAGTCATGCATCAAAATCCCTTAAGACATGCTTTTCCATTTCTGAAATCTCTCTTTTCTTATACAAACAACATTCCATGGAAAAAGTGGCAAACATAAAGGTATTCGAATGTAAGATTAAATTGTGGCCACTATGTTAGTAAGTATTTCAGAAGTATTCACTCTTTCCTTGAAGTAAGCAATGGAAGAAGTATTGCCACAGAAGAATACTCAAGTATTTAGTGATTAGATTATTTTAAAAAAAAATAATAAGGAAAGAGTCAGGAAGGAAAATGAGATTGAAGGACAGATCTACATAATCAGTAATCCATGAAACCAAATGAAATCCACCAGCTTTGGATAGCAACTGGATAAATCTTTCTTCGTTTGTTTTTGTTCTTGCAGCCTATGATGGGCTATGTACAAGGCAGCTAGCCAAGAACCTGGGAGGCCATAAAATATGACTGGTTTGCAATGTTGAATTTATGAAGCCATGCATCATGGCCCATAAACTGACATCAGGGAATATTTTTAAATACCAGAAAATGTTAGTGGCTCCTCAAGTGTTCTGTCTTTGCCAAAGCATTCCACATATGACTGAAACATACTTTGTAATATAATTATTTTTGTTATTGACAGATGTTTGGTGGTGATAGATTTACAAAACACTACTTTATAGTTGTATTAAATGTATTTTTTATGTATGTACACACATATGTATGCATGCTGGGATGGTGATGGGAAGACATGAGATGAAATGTTCCTAAATTGGATCAGAAGAAAAGATGTGGGCATTGGAATATGTGTTGTCTCACCACCTACAGATTATGTCTGACCTTGTTTCTGCATCTCTTGCAGAAAACCTTCAGCTATGTCGACTGAATATGTGCAGACATCTCATGATAAGTCTGAAGACAGACTGGATGGGCGAGAGACTTGCTGTAACCATTTGGGTCAGTGTTAGGGAGGTGATGTCATTGCCTGTGGCTGTTAGAGAAAAAGTCTTTGCATTATGAAGTCCTGCCCATTGACACTCCTTTCCCTTAGTGCCCCCCTTTCTCCCTTCCCCCTAATCAGAACAACTGTTTCTCATGAAACTTGATAGACTGCGCCTTCTGGTGACACATCTGATGCCAGATGGAGAGGCATTGGGTAGAGCTTTCTCTCTCTCTCTCTCTCTCTCTCTCTCTCTCTCTTTCTCTCCTGCCTGCCTGCCCCAAAACACCAGGAAAAGGGAATAATAAAAATGAGCTTTTTTTTTTCTTTAATACAATCATGTATGTATTTCCCCCAAACAAACCTTTCCTAGAAGATTTTACAAACAATGTGGTCAAGAGAAATG